ATTTATGATAAAGAGAAAAAAAGCCGCGGGGCCGGGGCGGCGGGATGCGGTGCCGGGGCGGCGGGGAGCTGTGGGAGCCGGACGGCGCGCGGTTGCCCGCCTGGGGCCGGACACCCGGGGGCCGCGCCCTCGCCCGCCCGCGGGCAGCCCTGGACCTGGAGCGGAGAGGGTGGCCGCCAGGTGGACCCGGTGGGGAACCTGGACCTGGCCCCTCCCCGTTTCTGTCCCTGGAACCCTGGTGGGGTTCGGACCACAGGGGACGCTCTTCACACAGACCCAGTGCGACGAGGAGAGGATCCTTGCCCCGCTGGAGAACGCGGGCGCCTGGGTTCCCGGCGGTTAGGGCCAGCTGGGGCGGCCAGGGTGACCTGTCACAATTCTCCTGAATGAACAAACTCTGGGATGACTGGTGGGACTCGGGGTTAAGGACCCGGGCGTTGCTGGAAGGGTGGGGCAGTGATGGGAGAGTCACCATCGGGCAAAGCATGAGCACTTCATAAATATTTAATAACGATATTATTATTAATAAATAGTCATAATAATGGGCCCGATGTAGGCTCCCTGGGCAGGCTCACCTGGCAAGGCCAAAGGAGCTCCCAGCACACCCTGTATCCTCCACTTTCGCGGCAGAATGCCCCGCTTAGCCCGAATGGAAGCCTAAAACCCTCACAGAATAGCGTCTGCTGCTGGGCAGGGGGAAGTCAGAAGAGTTCAGGAAGGCTTCCTGGGCCAAAGAAAAGAGGCTCTTTGCGGAGATTTTTAACCTCATCTGCCCTTCCCCAATTCCTTGTTCCAAAAGTAGAGGGCTGGTCTCTAATTGTTCATATACATGTATCCCACGCCCCTTATTTGGCAATCTAGAGGTAGCCAACATTGACTGGCAGAGGCCTTCGGAGGAATAATTCCATATATTCCATTTTGATTCAAGCCCAGGTGTTCAAAGTGATACTTCTGTTACCTGGTACTTCGCTTATCTGCTGTAGAACTTCATTTCTTCATTGGTTCAACAAAAATACCCACTCAGTGCCATGCTCTGAACAATTCAGACAAAACTTCTCTCATGGAGTTTTTATTCTGGGGGTGGACAAGTAGATGCTAAACCTGAAAACAAACAAGGTAATACCATGAAGTGATTGTGCGTGAGTGTGTGTGTGTGTGTGTGTATATAACCATTTCTTCTGTTTTGTACCTGGAAATACTTCCTAAAGTTAAGAAAAGTGAGTCAGGGGCCAAGTGCCATGGCTCATGCCTGTAATCCCAGCACTTTGGGAGGCCAAGGCAGGTGGATTACAAGGTAAGGAGTTCGAGACCAGCCTGGCCAAGGTGTTGAAACCCCATCTCTACTAAAAATACAAAAATTAGCCAGGCGTGATGGCACTCACTTGTAGTCCCAGCTACTCGGGAGGCTGAGGCAGAAGAATTGCTTGAACCTAGGAGGCAGAGGTGGCAGTGAGCCAAGATCATGCCACTTCACTCCAGCCTGGCTGACAGAGTGAGACTCCGTCTCAAAAACAAAAAAAGAAAAGAAAAGTGAGTCAGAAGAAATTTGCTCTTGTAATGTTTGTTTATCTGCATTTTGAAGGAATTTGGGATAAGCTTATATTCTCGTCCCCAAGATATACTCACTGTAAAATTATCGGAGTAATCTTTCCCTTTTTTTCTTTTGAGACGGAGTCTCACTCTGTCACCCAGGCTGGAGTGCAGTGGCACAATCTTGGCTCACTGCAACCTCCGGGTTCAAGTGATTCTCCTGTCTCGGCCTCCCAAGTAGCTGGGATTACAGGCGAATACTGCCACGCCCGGCTAATTTTTTTGTATTTTAGTAGAGACAGGGTTTTACTGTGTTGCTCAGGCTGGTCTCGAACGCCTGGGCCTCCCAAAGTGTTGGGATTACAGGTGTTAGCCACCGCGCCCAGCCATCTTTTACCTTTAAAAAATGCTTTATAATTTAAAACGTTTTTATGTGCATGCTTTACTTCAGTTCAAAATAATAGCAATGATAATAACACATAGATAGTGTTTGCTTCATTCTAGGCCCTGTTTTAAGTGCCTTCTGTGAATATTATTAATTTAATCCTCATAATAACCCATGAGATGGTTACTATAATTTGATTCCATTTTGGATAAGGAAACTGAGGCTTAGAGGGACTACCTGTAGTAGAAGCAGTATTCAAGCTGGGTCTTCTGCCTTTAAATCCCATGCTCTGTGTCAAAATGTTAAAATCAGGGTTCATGAGGCAGAAGAGAGGGTGGGATCCAGGAGAAACTGTCCAAGGGAGGAAGGCTTGAAATGAGAAACTGGATGGGCACTTTAGGAAGGGGTCAGTGTGGTCTGGGTTCTCCAGAACTCAATTCTACATCTTTGAATTTTTTTTTTTTTTTTTTTTTTTTTTTTTTTTTTGAGACAGAGTTTCACTCCATCACTTAGAGTACAGTGGCATGATCTTGGCTCACTGCAACCCCCACTTTCTGAGTTCAAGCAGTGCTCCCACCTTGGCCTCCCAAGTAGCTGGGACTATAGGCGCCCATCACCATTCCCCAGGTAATGTTTGTATTTTTAGCAGAGACGGAGTTTCACCATGTTGGCCAGGCTGATCTCGAACTCCTGACCTTAAGTAATCTGCCTGCCTCAGCCTCCCAAAGTGCTGGGATTATCAGTGTGAACCACCACACCCAGCCTATACTACGTCTTTGAATTCATTTAAGTAGCCCCAGTATGGGAAATGGAGCCAAAACATTTGAAATAGGGTGTGTGTTTTGAGGGAAAAGGTAGGAAATATGAAGAGGCTAAGTGATGTGGCTACGACAAAACCTCATATCTTATATGTTTTCAGCCCATATTCATGAACCCGGTTATATACCGTATATTATCCTAGGCACCAGAGATACGATGATAAGCACATGAGCCCTGCCTTCCTGGAGTTTACAGTCTACTAGGAACATACCAACTTTTCATTTTTCACATTCCTTCCTTCCTTCTTTCTCCTTTCTCTCTCTTTCTCTCTTTCTTTTCTCTTTTTCTTTCTTTCTCCTTCCTTCCTTCCCCCCTTCCTTCTTTCTTTTCTTTTCTTTTCTTCCTTTTCTTTTTTTAAGACGGAGTTTCACTCTTGTTACCCAGGCTGGAGTGCAATGGCATGATCTCGGCTTGCCGCAACCTCTGACTCCCAGGTTCAAGTGATTCTCCTGCCTCAGCCTCCCGAGTAGCTGGGATTACAGGCATGCACCACCATGCCTGGCTAATTTTGTCTTTTTAGTAGAGATGAGGTTTCTCCATGTTGGTCAGGCTGGTCTCAAATGCCCGACCCCAGGTGATCCGCCCACCTCACCTCCCATCGTGCTGGGATTACAGGTAAGAGCCACTACGCTTGGCTCTACTCTCCTATTTTTTTGGTCACCTCATTACTCTTTTTTCTTTCTTCTGTGTGTGTGCCTAGCTGATCTGACAACAGCTTGGCAAGACTGTTAGCTCTGCTGATGGTTCAGGGTGTAGAGGCGGGGGCCGGTCTGGAGCAGAATTGAGATCCTCTGTTTTCTAGTGTCTCCTGAGTCTTGGGGGCCAGAGCAATCACCATCAGCCTTCTCCTGTTTCCTGAGAGGAGGCTCTGTGTGGTGTCAGGAAGATAGGGTTTGGGGAGGTGGACAGAGCCTTGAAGTTTGAATCTGCCACTGACTCTCCAGTGTCCTTGGTCAAGTCACCTGACCTCTCTCTGCCTGTATGTACATATAGATAAAAATGAAGATGCTTAGCCAGGCACGGTGGCTCACGCCTGTAATCCTAGCACTTTGGGAGTCTGAGGTGGGTGGATCACCTGAGGTCAGGAGTTCAAGACCAGCCTGACCAACATGGTGAAACCCCGTCTTGGAAAAAAAAAAAGAAAAAAAAATGAAGATGATTGTGGTAAAAGCTAAGCATTTCATTTACGTGATCTTATATCATCATAATAATCCCATAGGGCTTGCTTATTTAATCACCATTTTATTTATTTATTTATTTATTATTTTTATTTTTTGATCTGGAGTCTCGCTCTGTCGCCCAGACTGGACTGTAGTGGGGCAATCTCGGCTCACTGCAACTTCCACCTCCGGGGTTCAAGCAATTCTCCTGACCCAGCTTCTGGAGTAGCTGGGACTACAGGTGCCCACCACCATGCCCAGCGAAGCTTTCTATTTTTAGTAGAGACAGGGTTTCCCCATGTTGGCCAATCTGGTCTTGAACTCCTGATCCCAGGTGATCCTCCTGCCTTGGCCTCCCAAAGTGTTAGGATTAAAGGCATGAGCCACCACACCGGCCTAGTCAAATTAGAGAAGGCATTTAAGGATTTCTTCTGCTAGGATCTCAGGCTATTTTAGGGAGTTCTGATTTGTTTGGGATTTCCCAGTCCTTCTCCTATGTATCTTGGAATACTGCTCTAAACTCAAAGCAGGTCCAGAGGAGAATGACAGGTAGAATGAGGTTCTCTGGCTCATTCTTCCCCACTGAAAATCCTGCATGGCCCTGGACCTCTTTGGATTCTCAGGGTATACAAATGCCTTAGCACTCGCAGTTCCTTTTACCCCAAGACTGCTTGGGGTTCTGTTTTTATATTTATTTATTTGGGACAAAGTCTTGCTCTGTCACCCAGGCTGGAGTGCAGTGGCATGATCACAACTTACTGCAGCCTTGACTTCTGGGGCTCAAGCAGTCCTCCCACAGGTGTGCACCACTACACCCAGCTAGTTCTTTTTTTGTTGTTTGTTTTGTTTGAGTTGAAGTCTCGCTCTGTAGCCCAGGCTGGAGTGCAGTAGTGCAATCTTGGCTCACTACAACCTCCACCTCGGGCAGTCAAGCGATTCTCCTGCCTCGGCCTCCCAAGTAGCTGGGACTACAGGTGTGTGCCACAACTCCCAGATAATTTTTTGTATTTTAAGTGGAGATGGAGTTTCACCGTGTTAGCCAGGAAGGTCTCAATCTCCTGACTTTATGATCCACCAGCCTCGGCCTCCCAAAGTGCTGGGATTACTGGCATGAACCACCGCGCCCAGCCTAGTTTTTGTTTTTTGTTTTTTTTTTTTTTTTAATCTTTTGTAGAGACAGGGACAGTGTCAAACTCCTAAATTCACATGATCCTCCCAAAGCACTGAGATTATAGGCATGAGCCACTGTGCTCAGCTCTGTCTGGGTTTTTAGATATTAGCAAGGAAAACAAGGGGTAAGTGAGCCATTTGCTAGCCAACCGGAGTGCCTTGCCAGGCCCCATCCAGGGGTTTTTCAAACCCAACTCACTGGAGAAAGAAGGCAAAGGAGAGGGCCCTTGGTGTGCTGTGCTTCCCACCCCAGCTTTAACCAGAGCAGCTCTGCTATGATCTGTGTATGTGTTGGGATTCTACTGCTGGGATGGGGACAGGAGCTCCTTCTCTTGAAACAGACAGCTGATTGTCTCTCCCTCTTGGCCTTCAGGCTGTGGGCACTACATAGCATCATGGGCTCAAAGGAGTCCATCCAGATGTGCTATTTATGCAGTCATTGGGGAAATGGTCAAAAAGCAAACCAAAGATGGATTTCTAGTCACTGGAACCCAGCCACAGCTGAGGCTTGAAAAAAATCTGGAAAGTTCCTGACAAGGAGATGGGAGCAGTTTCAGAGAAAAGTCTGCATAGATACCAAGCAAGGGGAACACACAGGGCACAGCTCAGAGTCAAAATGCTAAGTGTCTACTTGTCAGAGAGGTGTTGATATCACATACATGTGTAATAGGAGCCATCTAAAGATAAGACAGGGAGAGATGGAGTCAGATCTGGAACAAGGGAGGTCTTGGACTCTGCTCTGCCTGGATTTCTGGTGGGCTGAAATCTGGCTGGTGGGTTGGAGTGGGCTTAGGTGTGGCTAGAGGCTCTGTCTCAGGACAGACTTTGCCCTTGGCTTAAAGGACCAGACACCAAGAACCCAGGTCCTCATAGCTCGTAAAATCTTAAGGGTGGAAGGGATATCAGAATCACCCAAGCCTTATCACTACTTGAATCCTACTAACACAGTCACAAAGTGGACACTTGCCCCTGCTCACTCCTTGTGAGTGGCCATAATTGGCGGCAAAGAGCCAGAGGCCACAGTGAGACTATGAGCAGGCTTTACTCTCCTCTCAAGGAAATGGCTTGCTGCTCTACGATGATTGGCTACTGCTGCCTTACGCCTAATGACCTTCTTTGAAATTGGAAAATTCTTCTCCCCATGAAACGTATGTATCAAGCTGAATGCACCCAGATTCACCTTGCATAGCTTTCATTTCAATTTTGTCTCTTCCTCTTATTTTCTTTGCAAATGACATCTATATTTAACAACTTTCATAGCTCATCCTAATTCCTAGCCAGAGGTGATGGTAAATTGCCAAGTTCTCTGAAAAACTCATGGAAGACTACCGTGTACAAAATCTGGGGGGATAGGAGTTTAAGACTAGCCCTGGCAACATAGTGAGACCTCATATCTACCAAAAAAAAAAAAAAAATTAGCTGTCCATGGGTAGTCACAGCTACTCTGGTGGTTAAGGCGGAAGAATCACTTGGGCCTGGGCGTTTGAAGCTACAGTGAGCCATGGTCATGCCACTACATTCTAGCCTGGGCAACAGAGCAAGACCCTGTCTCAAGAAAAAAAAATCTGAGGGAAGACATGAACCAAGAAGGAGGCTAGAGCCCCAGTGAGGTAGGTGGATGCTCACCAGTTCTTCCAGAAAATTCCCCTGCCCCTCCTGCACCCACTCATCCTACCTGAAAGGGGAAGGCTCAATTCCTCTTTTTTTTTTTTTAATTGTTAGGTATCTGGAATCGCTTGCCCTCTCCTTGACCCCCACTCTAGAGGGGCTAGGGAGGGAAAAGGAGGGAAGGAACCTCATGGTTCTCCTTACCTGGTTGATCAGGGAACATTCTGCCAAGCAATGAAGATGCTAAAACCCCAAGGGATAATCCATCTAGCAATTCCATTCCTAGGTATATACCCAAAGAATTGGAAACAGGTGTTCAAAAAAAGTTATACCCAATAGTCATAATACACTATTCACAATAGCCAAAAGTTAGAACAACCCAAATATCCACCAACTAATGAACGGGTAAACAAAATGTAGTATATCCATACAATAGAATATTATTCAGCCAGCCAGGCGTGGTGGCTCATGCCTGTAATCCTAGCACTTTGGGAGGCCAAGGCGGGTGGATTACCAGGTCAAGAGATCAAGACCATTCTGGCCAACATGGTGAAACCTCATCTCTACTAAAAATTCAAAAATTAGCTGAGCATGGTGGCGTGCGCTTGTAGTCCCAGCTACTCAGTAGGCTGAGGCAAGAGAACTGCTTGAACTTGGGAGGTGGAGGTTGCAGTGAGCCAAGATTGCACCACTGCCCTCCAGCCTGGCAACAGAGCAAGACTCCATCTCAAAAAAACAGATTATTCTGCCATGAAAAGGAATGAAATTCTGACACATGCTACAACATGGATGAACCTTGGAAACGTGCTAAGTAAAAGAAGCTAGACACAGAAAGCCACATATTCTTTAATCCCATTTACATGAAATATCCAGAATAGGGAACTCCATAGAGAAAGCACATCAGTAGTTGCCAGGGCTTGGGTGGTGGCAGTGGAAGGTGAAAGACTATTCGTGGATATGGAGTTTCCTTTTGGGTTGATGAAAATGTTCTGGGACTAGACAGTGGTGATGGTGGCCCAGGCGTGAACGTGCCAGATTCCACTGTATGGTGCACTGTAAAGTGGCTAAAATGGTTAATTGTATGGAATGTGAATTTATCTTAGTCTGTTTGGGCTGCTTTAACAAAATACCATGAACTGGGTAGCTTAAAAACAACAGACATTTATCATAGTAGTCAAGGTGGGAAGTCCAAGCTCAGGGTGTTGCTGTCTGGTGACGGCCCACCTCCTCATTAACAGAGCCTTCTTGCTGTGTCCTCACATAGTCAAAGGGGTGAAAATATCTCTCTCACACTAGAGTCTCGCTCTGTTGCACAGGCTGAAGTGCAGTGGTGTAATCATAGTTCACCACAGCTTCAACCTTCTGGGCTCAAGTGATCCTCCCGCCTCAGCCTCCTGAGTAGCTGAGACTACAGGTGCGCATCACCACACTCAGCTAATTTTTGTACTTTTTGTAAAGATGGGGTTTCGCAATGTTGCCCAGGCTCGCTTCGAACTCCTGGGCTCAAGCAATTCACCTGCCTTGGCCTCCCTAAATGCTGGGATTACAGGCATGAGCCACTGTACCCAGCCTCAGGCCTTGTTTATACAGTTACTAATCCCATTCCTAATTACCTTGCAGAGGCCCTACCTCTTAATGTTATCACCTTGGGGATTAGAATTTCAGCTCATGAATTTGGGGGGAAGGACACATTCAGACCGTAGCAGAAAGGAAAGGTGAATCCAGAACACCCCTCTGGGTTTTGTTTCCCCATCTGTCACATGCAGATAATAATGTCCCCCATTCCCGACACCCCCAGAGTTGGCATGAGTAATACAGCAAGCAATTTGTGTTACATAAAATGCCTAGCATACAAGATGCACTCAAAATAAATGTTAATTGCTTTTTTCCTATAAAAGTGTCTAAACCTATTTGCCTCATTTTTTTTTTTTCTCTTTCTCTCTATCTGTCTCTTTCTTTTTTGAGACAGGGTCTGCTTCTGTCACCCAGGCTGGAGTGTACCAATTACTGCTCACTGCAGCCTCTGCCTCCCGGTTTCAAGCAATCTTCACACCTCAGCCTCCTGAGTAGCTGAGACTATAGGCATGCACCACAATGCCCGACTAATTTTTTTATTTTTTATTTTTATTTTTGGTAGAGACAGGGTCTCACTATGTTGCCCAGGCTGGTCTCAAACTCCTGGACCCAAGCAATTCTCCTGCCTCGGCCTCCCAAAGTGCTAGGATTACAGGCATAAGCCACTGTGCCCAACCTATTTTCTTTATTTCTTACGACTGGTTTGTGGCTCCAGCCAGACAACCTGTCCTCACATGAGGGCTTTGCCCGCTCCTCACTGCACAGGGCAGGCTGTTCACCATCTGGGATGTCTCACCTCCTCTCTTACAGGCCACTGTGGTCTTTGGGCCACTGTCACAGAGTTGCCCAAGGAGTGATTCTGTGATGTTCCTCCCTTGAATCAGACTCTCTTGGAGTAGTTGGGGGAAAAGGTCTAGGGACCTGCATTTATATTTTTATTTTTAAATTATTACTCTGTGCTTTATTTATTTTATATATTTTTTCTTTTTTTTTCATCTCTGCCTATTTTGAACATTTATTTGTTTTTTGAGACTGAGTCTCGCTCTACCCTGTACTTTGATACAAATACTAAAATTTTTACTAAATGCTCCAGGAGACCACTTTAATTTATTTTTATTTAATTTAATTACTTTATTTATTTGTTTTGAGATTGAGTCTTGCACTGTCTCCAGGCTGGCGTGCCGTGGTGTGATCTTGGCTCACTGCAACCTCTACCTCCCAAGTTCAAGCAATTCTCCTGCCTCAGCCTCCCGAGTAGCTGGGATCACAAGTGCCCGCCACCATGCCTGGCTAATTTTTTGTATTTTTAGTGGAGACAAGGTTTCATCATGTTGGCCAGGCTGGTCTTGAACTCCTGACCTTGTGACCCACCTGCCTCGTCCTCCCAAAGTGTTGGGATTAAAGGCGTGAGCCACCTCGCCCGGCCTAATTTATGTTTTTACCATCTCTTCCAGGAAATCTGCCCAGATTTCTCTCTTGCTCCTTACCTGAGTCTAAGTTTCTGAGTGTCGGGGTCAGATTCACCTTGGGTTCTACTGGGTGTGCTCTCTCCCATTGGACTGGGGGAGCCCCAGGGAAGATATTTGGCCTTTTCTTTACTCTCCTCACCTTAAGCGCAGATGTTTCTGGTTCTTCTCAATGTTGATTCTCCTAGGATGCTGTAGGAAATGCAACACTTTAAAGTTCTTAGAATTCTGTTTTTTGGCTGGTGCAGTGGCTCATTCCTGTTACTTAGGGAGGCCGAGGTGGGTAGATCACTTGAGGTCAGGAATTCAAGGCCAGCCTGGCCAACATGTTGAAACCGTATCTCTACTAAAAATACAAAAATTAGCCTGGCATGATGGCACATGGCTGTAATCCCAGCTACTCAGGAGGCTGAGGCAGGAAAATCGGTTGAACCCGGAAGGCGTAGGCTGCAGTGAGCACAGATCACACCACTGCACTCCAGCCTGGGCAACGGAGTGAAACGCTGTCACAAAAAAAAAAAAAAAAAATGAATCCTGTTTTTTGGGGTTTTTTTTACTTCTACAGATACTTGGGAGAACCTAGCTTCTCTGTCTTTCTATGATTCTATTCTGACTTTTCTAGATGGTATAGAAATTGTATTACTGTGTTACATCAGCCTTTGCCTTTCCAATCCCATCTTACCCAGGATGTGCTAGGTGTGGGCCGGCCCCCACCCAACCCTGACAAGTGACCATGGATCCTGGAGCTGGGTCAGAGTCATCTCTGACTGTCAATGAGCAGGTATCTTCTGGGGTGGAAAAGTGGGGGGTAAGGGTGATGGAGCGGGGGGTGTGGGCAAAGGAGGAAGACTCCACAGGGCCCCTCATTATCTGTTTCTTACCAGAGTTCACGGCCACTTCACCTCACCAGGGGTACTTGCAACTTAGGATTTCTCAGGGCTTGAGTTTGGGGAGTTAAGCTGTGACTTTGAGATGTGAAATCAAAATGTACATCACATGCTTAAGTTTACATGGGGAAAGTTTTGGCATCAGGTAATTTACTCTTTAGTTTTTCTTCTTGCTTACACACATTTTCTTTTTTGTTTTTTGCAAATGACTGTGTCATTTTTTTAAAAGGAGAAAAAAAGGCCTGGCATGGTGGCTCATGCCTATAATCCCAGCACTTTGGGAGGCCAAGGTGGTGGGTCACCTGAGGTCAGGAGTTCAAGACCAGCCGGAGCAACATGGTGAAACCCCATCTCTACTAAAAACACAAAAAGCCAGGGGTGGTGGTGGGCACCTGTAATCCCAGCTACTTAGGAGGCTGAGGCAGGAGAGTCACTTGAACCCAGGAGGTGCAGGTTACAGTGAGCTGAGATCGTTCCACTGCACTCCAGCCTGGGTGACAGAGCAAGACTCTGTCTCCAAAAATAAAAAAGAATGAACTTCTCTGAAATTGGAGTGAAGTCCCTCATAGGGAAGCTGGAGGCAGCACAAGAGCTGCTTTTGGGATGTATTCACTCATCTCATATTCTCCTGATGGGTCACATTGTCAGTTTTTCCAGCCCAGTTTGGCTGGATCCACTTGCAGGCTTAAAGAGCGTGTTGTGAGAGTGATTTCAGGCACAGGCCAGTTGCAGAGAGGCCTGACACAAAGCTGTTTAATTTACAGACTTTGTCTCTGATTCTTGAATGGCCCAGTTGGCAGGGCTACTGTGCTGCTGCTGAAGAGCCAGTGTGGGGCGTCTGGGCATGGGAGGGAGACCGAGTGTTCTGAGGAGGCTCAAGGTCCGCCTGCATTGCTCATGCATGGAGATTGCCCTTGAGGTCTGAGCATGCCCACAGCAGGTGGCAGGACAGGAGCCACAGGCCCACAGGATAAAAAGCTGCAGTCCAGGAGCGGCGCCAGGCAGAGAAGGACAGCCTGCCTCTTACGGATTCTTGACCTTTGTTTCAGGAATTTAGCTTGCAGGGAAATTGAGCCTTTACTCCAGAGTTCTGGAAATAAAGGAATCATGGGCCATAAAAGTTACTCAGCATTGGGCCGGGCGCAGTGGCTCAAGCCTGTAATCCCAGCACTTTGGGAGGCCGAGGTGGGTGGATCACGAGGTCAAGAGATCGAGACCATCCTGGTCAACATGGTGAAACCCCGTCTCTACTAAAAATGCAAAAAATTAGCTGGGCATGGTGGTGCGTGCCTGTAGTCCCAGCTACTCAGGAGGCTGAGGCAGGAGAATTGCCTGCACGCAGGAGGCGGAGGTTGCGGTGAGCCGAGATCGCGCCATTGCACTCCAGCCTGGGTAACAAGAGTGAAACTCTGTCTCAAAAAAAAAAAAAAAATTTAAAAAAAAATTTTTAAAAATTAATTTAAAAAATTTTTTAAAAATTTAAAAAAAAGTTGCTCAGCATTGTAAAGCATTCATGTTCCATCCCTTTATCTTTGAGGAACTTTCAGATAGTTTCAAGGGAAGTGAAGAGGGATTTGCTTCCTGGCCCATCTTAAGCTGTGGGTACCATGTTAGGAGCCCTCAGAGCCACGTGCCAATATCCTAGCTGCCAAGAGGACATCCTTCCAAGTTGTAGGATAAGCCATCCACCACTCCCTGCACTGAGCCCAAGAGATGGAACAAAGAGAAATTAGCTCCCAAATGGTCTGGCTCTGGGGGACATTTTCTAGCTTGTGTCAGGCCCTTCTCCCTGTCACCAGGGCCGGCTTTCCTCCAGCAGCTCCTTCCCTGGAATCAGGGAGCTGCAGCCTGCTCCAGGCTCTGGAATTCTCACAGAGCACACAGCCCTCTGGACAGAAGGTCTACATCCCGAAGTCCGCCCCCCTTTCCCCCAGCCATACCCAGAGCTTTGGATCCTGTGGCTCTACCAGCCCATCCCCCAGCAGTGTCTCCATCCTCTGCTTGCAGGTCATTGTGATGTCAGGTCATGAGACCATCCGAGTGCTGGAAGTCGGAGTGGATGCCCAGCTCCCTGCTGAGGAAGAGAGCAAAGGACTGGAGGGCGTGGCTGCCGAGGGCTCCCAGAGTGGAGACCCTGCTGAAGCCAGTCAAGCTGCTGGTGAAGCTGGGCCAGACAACCTGGGCTCCTCTGCAGAGGCAACTGGTACGAGGCCATCGCCCCCACCTGGTACTGCTCCACCTGAGTCCTGAGTCCCGTGGTCCCTGGGGCCCAGGTGGTTTTAGGGTCTTGTCTGCCTGCCCACAAGACAGCCTCTGGCCACAGCCTGTGCCTCTGGTCAGCTGTCAGGGCTCCTCTACACTCTTTGTTTCTGGAGCTTTAGATCTAGTTTGAGTCACTTCCAGGCCTAAACTGGCATGGATCAGGGTGAGGTGGGAGGAGACTGGCAGCACTCAGCGCAGGGGATTGAATCAACCTTAGGGGGTCCTAGATCTAAACCACATTCTCAGGCCCAGTGCAGAGAGGACTGGACCTTCAGGATCCTGCCAGCCTTTCCAACTCAGTCTTTTTTGTAGCAGAGCTGGGAAGTCCCAGGAGCTGAGGAGGATGGGAGGGCATCTTACCTGTCTCAGATTAAAGATACAGATTAGGTAGGATCTTGTAGAACCCCATCGATTTATAGGTGATATCCCTCTCCAAAGATGACCTTAAGGTGTGAGTGTGATTCTCTTGCAGTATTGCAGTGGGACAGCCTGGGCTGTTGAAGAGGCTGAGCTGTGGGGGATCAGGCACTGCTCCCTGGCCTTGGGGCACCCTCTCATCAGTCTTCCTTATTAACACTTGCAGAGTAGTCATCTCCTTTTGCAGGAAACCTTGGGCCTCCTTTTTTAGTTTCCCCAGAACACCCCAATTCATTTCCCCTTGACTTCTGCTGTACATTCCCCCTCCCGTTGACTGGAGATCTGGACTGGTGGGGGTGGGCCAAGAAGAAAAGGCAAGAAGAAAGCAAATGAGAATGTGCAAACTTCAGAGAGCAACAGCTCCTTAACAAGAAAACCACATGAGCACACATTACTTGCTCTACCTTCACATCGGTATGTGAATTCCTTGGAACCCTAGTAACCTTAGTCATTTTCTTTTCTTTTTGGATAAAGGAATGACAAGAGACAGGACCATTTTTCCCTAGCCTGGAAATGCTCTGCTTCCATGTTGAGGCCAGGATGGGTCATCACCTGTTCCCAAGGGCAGTGCCCTGGAGAACAGGCAGGGAAGACAAGCACCCTGCGTTTGCCAGTCCTTCCATTCAGCATAGTCACTGTGGAGTGGAACCCCTTTTCAGAAAACAGGGGAGGTTTCTCAGGTGTATTCACTGTGCCCTCACTTCCCTTTCACCCATTTATCCATCTTCATAGCTCATTTTCTCTGGTGCCTTAATTCTGCTCCTTATCCAAATCCGCTCTCCGAAATGGATCCTAAATCAATGATTTTCATTAGTGTTTGTGTAGCGTGTGTCTTCTTCCAGGGGTTTGTGTGTCTAAGCCTTTCACAAAAGGCTCCTCCTCTATAAAGGAATTTTAGTCATCATCAAGCAGCTAAGGGAGGTATTTTGATGGCACCACCTGAGCTGCCAGCTTAGAGTGATGGAAACTTTCTAGGTGTGCAGTGTTAAGAAGGGTTTCCCGCCAGGTGCAATGGCTCATGCCTGTAATCCCAGCACTTTGGGAGGCCAAGGCAGGTGGATCATGAGGTCAGGAGTTTGAGACCAGCCTGGCCAACATAGTGAAACCCCGTCTCAACTAAAAATACAAAAATTAGCCGGGTGTGGTGGCACCCATCTGTAGTCACACCTACTTGGGAGGCTGAGGCGGGAGAGTGGCTTGAACCTGGGAGGTGGAGGTTGCAGTGAGCCTAGACCACACCATTGCTCTCCAGCCTGGGTGACAGAGCAAGACTCCATCTCAAAAATAAATAAATAAAATAAAAAATAAAAACAAAACTAAGTAACAGGAAACTTTTTCAGGATGAAAACAGAATCTATTGGTTTGTGTCACTCACTCTAAATTACAATCCAGTCTTTGTCACACATACAAATTTTTATTGGTGTGGCCACTAAAGGTAGACTAAATAGTATGACACCACCACATAATTTCATGTATGTATGTCTTTTATTGACATAGAGTCACACACCTGCTTCTGGTTTTGGCCTTTGTCAAATTGTCTGGGTTTTCATTTTCATAAACAGTGCTGCTTTGAATGTTTTTGTATTGGTCCTTTAAAAAATTTTGTGTGTGATATAGTCTACTAAAATTTCCTTTGAGGCTAGGCACAGTGGCTCACACCTGTAATCCCAGCACTTTGGGAGGCCTAGACAGGCAGATCTCCTGAGGTCAGGAGTTAGAAACCAGCCTGGCCAACATGGTAAAACCCCATCTCTGCTAAAAGTATACAAATTAGCCCGGCGTGGTGGTGCACTCCTGTAGTCCCAGCTGCTCTGGAGGCTGAAGCAGGAGAATCGCTTTAACCCGGCAGGAGGCAGAGGTTGCAGTGAGCTGAGATTGCACCATTGCACCACAGCCTGGGCAACAGAGCAAGACTCCATCTCAAAAAATAATAACAATAAAATAAATAAAATTCCCTTTGAAGGGAAATTAATTATTAACATAGGAGGAAATCATTTCATGGAAAAATAAAAAAATCTTGCTATCAATGAGAAGAAAAGTAATTGACTTTAAAGTGTGACATTCCTGTTAAGCCAGGAAATAAATAAGTGGTGATAAAACCTATATTGGTGGGTGGGCATGGTGGCTCATGCCTATAGTCCCAGCACTTCGGGAAGCTGAGGCAGGCAGACTGCTTGAGCTCAAGAGTTCCAGACCAGCCTGGGGAACATGGCAAAACCCCCTCTCTACAAAAAAATAAAAAATTAGCCAGGAGTGGTGGCACATGCCTATAGTTACAGCTACTTGGGAGGCTGAGGTGGGAGGATCACTTGAGCCTGGGAAGCTGAGATCGCATCACTGCACTCCAGCCTGGATGACAGAGTGAGACCCTGTCTCAAAAAAACAAAACCAAACAAAACTATTGAGTGGTGCTGTGGAGAAGCAGGTACATTGGTGATGGTTCTGTGAGTTCATTTAGTCTTTCCGTACAGTCTAGCAGGAAGCAGTAGAAGCCCTAATGTATGTAAAACCTTGGACTCCGTGGTCCTGCTAAATATGCCCTAATAAAACGAATATTTTGCTTCTTTACAGGGTAATCTTTCATCATTTATGTTTGTCACTTTCCCATTTTCTCACTTACTTGCTTGTGTTTTCTTGCATTTTGTCCAACAAAATGTTTTAAAATTTTTCATATGTTCAGGCTCTCTGTGTTTGCTGATTTTTTTCTGTTTTATTTTTTTAATTCATTTTTATTTTTTTCGTAGAGATAGCATCTTGTTTTGTTGTTCAGGCTGGTCTGGCAACTCCTCAGCTGCCCAAAGTGCTGGGATTACAGGCGTGAGCTACTGCACCCAGCCTGATTTTTTTTTCAGTAGCCAGAAATGTATCTTCCCCCCACAGAGGAAATAAACCTGTTATTTTGTTTTCTTTTACTATTTTATAAGGCCTCTGTTGGTGTATGCTTGTCTCTTTAATTCCTTAAACTACCTGGGTTTTATTGTTATATGCTGTGAACAGTATAGTCCTGAGTTAGGTTGACACCTTCCCAAATTGAAACATGGGCCAGGACTGCAGGGTTGGACAGACTCTTGCAGTTATGTGCTTTAGTGGTTCCCACTCTTGGCCATATCACAGGGGAAGCTTTAAAGGGAAAAAGAGAGGCGAGGTAACTAGACTCCACTCCTGGACATTCTGATTCAGTAGGCCCAGATTAAAGCCTAGAAATATATGCCCAGCAGTATTAAGAAGCCACTAATCTGGCCGGGCATGGTGGCTCATGCCTGTAAACCCAGCACTTTAGGAGGCTGGGGCGGGGAGATCACTTAAGGTCAGGAGTTTGAGACTAGCCTGGCCAACACGGTGAAACCCCGTCTCTACTAAAAATACAAGAAAAAAATTAGCCAGTCATGGTGGTATGCACCTGTAATCTCAACTACTTGGGAGGCTGAAGCAGGAGAATCCCTTGATCCCTGGAGGCGGAGTTTGCAGTGAGCCGAGATCGCACCATTGCACTCCAGC